AAGCCTTTTAAAACTATTTCTAAAGTTTTCGTTTCTCCAGCAGTAGATCATGGGATTCCAACAAGCATTCAAACTGGCCACTAAATACACTAGGTACATGTGTTCCTTTCCAATCGATGTTGAACTCAGGAATTTGAGGCACAAGACAACAACCAGCGGAATGAAACTGACGAGACATGTCCCCACAATAATGGCCACTGTATAAGCACCTTTCATTTCGTGTGATCTTCTGGTCAGCTTTCCATGGATCTCTTCATTGATCTGTCGTCGCTGTTTCCAAGCGATTTTGAATATGTAACTGTATGATGCAGTGATAATCATAATGGGCACGAGTAACGTTGATATCACCAGAAAAAACAGGTACGTCTTAACAGAGTTCTCAATGCGAGAACAAGAGAATTGACACGAGCACGGTGTCAAGCCAGCGTGGTAACCTTCAAACACTTTATCAGTCGCCTTGAATGCCTCGGGAAAGGTATTTACGGCACAAACTCCCCATAGCCAAGCCACCGTGGAAGCAATCACTGTTCGGCGGTTTGTCACTATTGTGTGATATGTCATAGCGAACTTAACGGCGATGAAACGTTCAACGCTGATTAAAGTCAAGTGTAGAATGACGATGCCGAGAAGAGTAAGGTTGATTATTGATGCTGGAGCACACAGTTGGTGAGGAGGTACCTTCTTACCGACCAAAATGGTAGCAATGTGTAATACGAAGGGCACCGACATTGAAATGCCAGCCACTGACAAACTCACCACTATAACATTAGCTGCATTTCGCAAGTTTGAAAATTTATAAAACGCCCTGATCACCATCGTATTGCCAAAGATTGAGACAATTGTGATGGTAACGAAGATTGTAACAACCAAGGCCTTCATCTCAGTCGGCAGACTTTTCTCGTTTTCCGGAGGAGGAGAAGACGAGTGAAATGCCATTTCGCGGAATGAACGTTTGTAGACGAGGGCTGGTAGAAGGTAAAATATCAGTCGTCTGACTCATTGATAACGACCTTTAAGCCGCGAGTTGTAATCGAAACTTCAGAAATAGAGAGAAAATTTCATATTAGATGGGGCTGTGACGTGTAAGCTTAGAGACGTCATTACAGTGTTTATACTTTCAAAACAGGAAATTATGATGATAATTATCAAAGATAATTATGAAAATAACGCAAGGTACAACCACTTTGAATCGACCTAAAGGATTCCTTTTCCTTTCTCTTCTCTTCTTCTAGAAGTAGAGGTAAGAAGAAAGTGTCATCCAGCCTATGTATGTCAGGCCGGCTATGTACGTCAGGGCAGTCAGTTTATTGGTCATGCGAAGACTGAATAAAGAAAATTACAAATTCGCGTCATCTGTAACATTTACTTTTCACTTTGTGAAAACTTTTAGTTTTCTGGTTCATGAGGTTCCTAAAATATAATTTTCTTCCGTTATTTTCATAACTTTTATATTTCACAAAATAAAAAATTTTCACGCTCATCGAAGAAGAAACAGCTGCAGCAGCTATGAAGAGCCGGCTGATTAGCAGCCTTTTTAAGGAATGTATGTAAACTCCATAAACGTTCATCCAGTTTCATAGATAAATTAATACCCTAAAACAAAACAAAATAATTAGTGTTTTTCTTGGCAATGGTGGACCTGCCTACTTGAATTTTAACTTTAGAAACTAAGTTGAAACAGCTGCTCTGCGAATTGTCATGTTGGAAAAGCAATTAATTTTTCAGTTTGAAAGATGTTGTTTTTTCTTATTTTGGGAAAATTTTTCAATTGATAGCGAACTGACTTCTCTAAAATGGCCGTGCATTCATTTTATAAAATATTTTATCTTCATTCAGTGTTCATATTTATTGGCGTCATGTGATGGTCAAACCGTATGCAGGTTATTGAATGCACCGATAGTATGATAGAATACTGTCAAAACACTTCAAGTTTTTATCAGAAGGTTCCTGACTTTAAAAAAGGAAATGGGAAGCGAAAGTCGGAAACGTGTAAAGAAGGTCTTAATGGGGTTAACAGTTAGCCGCACAACTGCCCAAAAATTTGGCCGTAACAATTGGCAAATTTTAACCGTTAGTTGTAAAAAAAGTTAACAGTAAACAATTTCCTGGTGGCCACAATGCGAAGATATCATCCGTTAGTCGTAAATTAGCCAAAATTCTAACCGTTAGCGGTAAAGGCCATCACCCCATTGAGACCCTCCGTAAATTGTCTGGAGTATTGACAATTTATAGATTATTTGAAAATTCACGATTTTTACTCCTTTATTTCGTAGCAGATAGAGGTATACTAAACGCCTACAGCGAATAGGACCCCTTTACGTGAGCAGGTGGTGATCTCAAATAGAACATAACTCTAAAAGCATGCAAATGAGCTGCCTCTGTTAAAATTGCTTTTGCATGGTATCGTTTGTTAGCTTGTTTAACTTTCTGTTTATTTTGATGGAGGCTTAGATATCGTTTGGGGGAGTTTACAAAGAATTAATAAGACTCGCTCTGAGGGTCCGTCCGTCTAAATAACCGTTGATTTTTGCGAACGTGCTTCAGTAAAAATAAACGATGAGCATGTGTTTATTCGCCTTCATCAATTGAGCACAAATTTTATATGATAATTTAAACTTCACGAAAACATAAAAGAAACAGATATCAGCCATCCGTCCCTTTCGTGTTTGAATCCATGCAACATTTAAAACAACTGTCAGCAGAGACAACCAATATCTTATAATTCTTTATAGCAGTCAACCCTTTTTCATTGATCTTCTTTCTATCGAATTCTGGTTGAAATTGGAAATTGGCAAAGGTTTACTTCTTTGTGGGACGAAAATTTTAATATTTCGTACCTGTACCACCCCATCTCCTTCTCCTTTAAACTCCATAGTAATCAATATACCTCAAATCCTAAAAGATATCAATCTAATTTTGATTTGTTCCCAACATCCTTGGTTGAAAAGTTCAGTGGCAAAAGTAGGTTGCTTACGCCGCAAGTGAACCGTCCGTGAAGTGCAATGACATCCCCAAAGAAGTTGGGTATTAATAATAGCAGGAGGCATGTAGAATTTATTGTTTCATTAGCGACTTCATGGCTTCAGTCAGATATATACTCTGTATCGTTATATCTTCACCAAGAGTGTGGCGAAATAAATTATTAATTTCGGTTTCCGCTGTTAAGCTAAAAAGTTACCCATGACGCATTCCAATTTAGTAACATGTTAGGCAACGTTTACTTATGGCTCACTATTGCACATTAGGTGAACCTCACACATTTTTAACAGCCTGTGGCTGCAAAACGTGGCAACCAACACACAATCAATGGATGCAATATACTGAGTCGAAGAAAACACGTCTAGAATGTCAGTAGTTCATTTTCTCAATCGATTGTCAATGCAGTTTGCGAAGCATACCTTGCCAATTTCCATCAATTCAGTGTAGAATTCCGTTTTTTCATCCACCATAATTTAACTGGTACGCCAACAGGAACATGATTTATTTAGACGCAAGCGAGTCCTTCAGCGCATACTACTTACTACAAAAACGTGAATTCTACAAGCTAAGCACGAAGACTTCACTGAGCTTTAAACTAAGATTATCAGAACACAATCCAGTTGGTCTTTACAATTTGCTAAATGTAATACATTCAGGCTCTCTCACATCAATAAAGTTCGCACATGCTCTTGTTAATGCGTTGTACAAAGAACATTGGTCAAAAATTAGTCTCTTAAACGTAGCAATAATCCTTGGTCTGAATAAAACCAGGAAATGTCTGTTACAAACGCTTATCCCTGTCTTTGGGCAAAGCACACGGAAAAACGAATCGAACGATTGTTAAGCACATCTCAGGATTGCAAGGAAAGCGCTTCTAAAATTTGAATTTCTCCAGCCGTAAATTATTGGGTTTAGGCAGGCGTTAAACCCGAGTGCGAAGACAAAAACCAGGTGTTTCATAACTCTTCTCCAGTTGGTTTTGTGATAAGACTCGCCACGGAAACGTAAACTGGTTACGACTAACAACGGGACAAAACTGACGAGGCACCCTCCCACCACAATAGCCACAGTGCGAGCGCCTTTCATTTCTTCCTTAGTGGTGGCAGCTCCTTGAATATTTACTTGATCTTTGATTTCCCGCCTGTGTTTACGAGAAATGAGGAAGATGTATCCGTAGGAGCATAGTATGACCAGTATTGGTATGACAAGAACCGACGTCACCCAGAAGATGAGATATCCCATGGCTGTATGAGGCATTGGTTTCCCCTTTTCTAGAGAGCATGTAGAACATGGATGCAGAGCGTGGTAAAGCCCTTTAAAAATATTGCCGTCTTCTGTGCGGAGCGTGTGTGGTAATATAACTGTAACAGCAAGAGCCCACAGCCACACAGCGAAGGAGGCGAGCACTGTGCGGCGGGTTGTTACAATGCTTTGATATCTCAATGCGAACTTCACGGCGATGAAGCGTTCGACGCTGATAAGAGTGAGATGCACGATAATAACTGATATGAGTAAAATGGTCAAACCTGCACTAACTGTACACACGAGACCATTTTTTGTTTTAAGAGCCAAGAAAGAGATATCCAAGGTAAAAACAACCACTGTTAAACTGTCGGCTGCACTCAAACTCATTAGAATGCTGTTAGACGCAGTTCTGAGGCTTGGAAATTTGTGAAAAGCTTTAAACAGAAGCGAGTTGCCAATGGCGATAGCGATTATAAGGATCACAAGGATAACAGTAACTGTTGTTTTTATGTTATCGTCTGGCGGCTCCTCATCTGGTGTTGTTGGCCCACAACTGGTCCAATTCATCATCACTGCATGTGTTTATTTCTTTTTTCAACTCTGAAGAAGCTCTTCATTTTACGTCAGATTTTTTTTAATGCTGCCTTTTTAAAACCGGACCAAGTGCAAGTGATCCTTGTAAAAGACAATCTACTAATTGACGGCACCGGTAACGTCCGTTCGAGAATAGTCAACTAAAAACAGCTGAATGACCTCGTTCAAATTATTCTTAAAAAATGACCAGTATTGGTATGACAAGAACCGACGTCAGTACGGGCCTGAAAAAAATTTCAGGCCCGTACGGGATTTGAACCCATATATCTAAAATCTTCATTCACTTGGATGTTTATTTGGACCCAATTCATTGACCAGCTCCCAGTTGGCTTGTTAGCTCAATTGGTAGAGCGCTGCACCGGTATCGCAAAGGTCATGGGTTCAAATCCCGTACGGGCCTGAAATTTTTTTCAGGTCCTATTTACAACTACTCGTTTCAGTAGTGTTCTTAGCTGCGAGGATCTCCTAATTTCAAGAACTTAAATATTCTTTTTAAAGCATCTTTGAGTTTAAAGTCGGATCAGTCTTTTTAAAAGTTAATTTAAAATTCGATACGCAAAAAGTCGGGAAGGCAACTGAACCATTTGGTAACTTCATTTTGTTATTTATTTTAGTATACAGAGGCAAACCAAACAAAAACTTGTTCCATAACTTTGATTCCACATTATGAAAAGCAATTACTGTTTCAGTTTAGTTGGAACAGAGACAACTGAGCTATCTCCTACTGCAGTTTGCCTTTTCTTTTCTTTTACGCTCTGCAAAAGGGCTGACAAGGCATGTGTGTCTCAAATGCATATTATGATTTCATAAACATCTTAGAGGTTAATTCTAAGTGCTTTAAGAGTGCAGGAACAACAACAAAATCAAACGAAAGCCTCCCCCAACCCTACTTACTTTGGACTGAATCCTATTTTTCCGGATCCATTTACAGCTGTAACTTGTTTTCGCAGATCTGCAAATGTCCGTCTTGAAATATCTTCACAAATAGCAATTAGCCAACTTTACAAACTGAAAGGGAAGTGAACGGGGCCAACAATATAAGTATGAAAGTGAACAGAATGTTAAGATTTGTAATTCTATAATGAAGGCAACACGAAGCATATCATTTTTATTTAACTTCCACTGCCACCCACCTATCTTATTTAACTAGAATAAAATCGCACTGAGCGTTTTACGGCAGCTTTTTCCTCTGTTGCTTAATTACAAAGATATCTCCTGGCGCCAAGCATATGTGCTATTACTGTGTCAATTAAAACTTTGCGAAATAGGAAAGTCACGTTTTGGGCAGATTATGTTATTTTATCATTCCATTGTCGAGCCGAGCAATTGGAAATTGAACGGAAAATCTCAAGTTTATTTCATTTTAAGCTCTTCTAGGCAGTACTAAAACAGCCGTTCTCGTTTTAGTATTCAACTCGTTTAGCCTCTTTTTGATGAATTTAAGAGTATCACCATTAATACTGGCTACGTTTTATAGTTACAGAGAAACCGCTTGAATTTGAAATTATGACAACTTCATGTAAAAAAAAGGAAAGGGTTATTACACCTTAATTCGAGTGCTCACGAAACACGAGCGACTTTCTCGAAAATAAATATTTTCCTAAATTGAAAGAAAATTGCAACCCATATCAGTAAGTGCAAGCTTTGGAGTGTTATGGCCAAATGCATGGTGCAAAACTGTGGCAATGCGGCTGAAAAGGTCTGTAGGGGATTTTGATAGTTCATACAAAATATTCCCAGAATTGTTTTGCTTTGTGCTTCCGAGAAATACATGATCAGTAGGAGAATGACAATAGGGTATCACTGAAGAAAACTAATAATGTCAAAAAGTATTTCATATTTGTTGAAGATGAGATTTTTAATAATGATTTAGCTGGTGTTATGCATGAAATCAATTATGTCGCGGATTTATTAGTAATAGATACTAGATCTTGACCGATGAAATTTCCAATTTATATTTCTTTTGTTTAGGGTTTGCTAAGGCTGATTTGACATTAATTACTTGAAGCACTTTGCGAGAAGAAGATTTAAACTTAGACAGTTGCAGCTGCTTACTTTGTTTTTTAACAATTAAGTTATTTGAGCTTCTCATAAATTTAAACAACTCATTAGAAACCAAGCCAAAATAATCTTAGTCTAAGAAGAGCATTTAAAAGAAGAAAAAACTGATAACTGAAGCAAGAGGATTTTCTTCAGCATAAGAGAAGGACACAAACCAACAGGCAAGTTGCGATTTATTGTTGACTGTAACGTCTAATACAATGACAGTAAAAAGATGAAAAACACCTATGCCTTTAATGTGATGTGTAGGGGTTCGTGATGTCTTATGCTTTCCCTGAGCTATTTCCTTTGGTGATTTTCTGTGCTGTGTTGTGCTGACCATCGCTACAATTTGCTGCTGTGTTTAAATGTTTTTTTCTCTCCCCTCCATTCCCTTTTCTCTCTTTCTTCTTGTTTTGGAATGTTGATGTTGCCATTACTACAGTTCTGTGCTTGTGTTGTTGTTAATCATTTGTTGTGCTGTCTGTCATGTGTTGTTCGTCTATATAGACATCACATGAGACCCTTATCGAATTCTACTGGTCTATACCATCTTTAACCACCGAAAATCTATTTTTATTTTTTAGATGAAACAAGGAGAGATTCGTTTATTTACAAGCCGTACAGCTCAAACACATCTTCCAAAAAATATTTGTAAGATGCTTGCATTTTTCACTCATTACACAAAAAGTTGACAAAATCTGCAGATAACCAAAAAATCAATGGTTGTATCGTTGTCTTTCGCAACATTCAAAACATCTCACAACTAAGGAGAGATCAGAGCAAAAGTTTCCGCAACTATTTCATGATCGAAACCTTGTTGTTTCGTCCTGTGAGCAAGGGGCATTTGTTTTTGTTCTCAATATTTTCTAGGTTCAACGCAGATGAGTTAGTATGTCATTTTTCTTCATGGTAATACAGGCATTCTCTCAAGTATGTTTCGGTGAGCAACTTTTCACTTATTCAATCCTTACTTTACTATATTCCTAGGTATCGATACTGTTAAAACATCCACAGAAATGTATACCAGCTAATCTAAAACCACAAATAAAAGGTTTTAATCTAAAAAAGTTAATCAGTCTCTTCCCCCTTCAACAGGAATTCTTAATTCAGACTCTCATCAAATTTATGGCGACAATGGAACAATAACAAGCCCAAACTTTCCAAGATTGTATCCGGATAAATTAAGCATTCTTTGGAACATAACAGCAGTAACAGGAAATCAGATAAAACTCCATTTCACCTCATTTCACCTGCAACTCTCTGAAAGTTGTGACACTGACTTTGTTCAGGTCAAAGATGGCCCCTTGCCATCCAGCGATGCCATCGTGCGCATGTGTGGTAAGAGAAGATCGGAAAAGATTGTATTCTCAACAGGTCCCCATCTACAGATTTATTTTATCACTGATGGGAGAAACTCATACCCTGGATTCCGAGTTTCCTACGAAGCTGTTGGTGAGTATTTATCACAAAAAATCTCCCGGCACAAAGCTTTTTCAGTTTTTAGATATGGACGGGAGAAGAATCGAAGAGTTGGGAATGGATTTCTGAGTTGAAAGTAGTAGCTGCAGCCTCTTATGAATAATTTTTCGGTGTTTGAAACTGGGTAGAAGAGGCAATCGAATCATGAAATTGGATCAGATAATTCTCTTCATCTTTCGTCAGCTACGTCTTCATGTCTCATTTTATTGAGTTCATATTGTATGTAATTTGGTATCAACTGTTCAGGAAATGTGTTAAGGTCCTACCTAATTTGTACAATTTCTAGCTCTCAACCGGAGTTTTTTCAAAGGATTAAAAAGGTGGATGTCGCAACCGTGTCCTGGTAAGTTTTGTAAAACGATGACAACGATGTGGCAAAATCGTGATCGCCCTATCAAGTCACAGAGAAATTCTTTTTTGTTTTCAAAGCAGCACTGGTACTTACTACTAAAACACAGCTTCAAGTTTTATGTTAAGGGAGGACACCGAGGGATAAAAGATGCGAGAAACACGAAGAGACAGATCATGTTTAAACGAATAATGTTAATGTAGTTGTTTGCTGTTGCCAAGGCAATGATGCATTATCTAATTCTGACGTAACACCACATTGAAACTGTAGTGAAGTTTTACAGTGACCCGGACGACTCAAACTTTGTTTCTTATTTTGATTAATGCCTCGCAAATCCAATCCTGATTTCAAATCTTGTTTTTCAAATACACATTTATCTGAACATACCCTAACCCCTGACCCTTGATGACTGGCATTCATTTGAAGGGATATCCAATCAATCGCACCTTTTGTCATTAATGGGCATTTTTAAGGAGACTAACCCTAAGCAACAACCTAACTATTTTACATTTGGATCCACAGGGCTAAAGAATCACGATAAAAAGTGTAGATGTGTTCGAGTTGAAAGCGCTGAGGAGTTGTATCTAAGGGTGTATTGCATGGATCTGAAGCTGTCTTCTGTCTCGGACGTAAATCATTCTAATATCACCAAACTGCTGTACGTTCACGGGGTAGTTTGTTAAAATGTTTACATATTCAGTTTAAATGAACCAGTTTTGATTAGTGCAGCTAAAAAATCGGAAAGCTGGCATTTCGACAAAGTGCAATTTTGATAAGTCAGTATTTTGACTATAGCTTGTGGTGTTTTAGTTCAATTCGAAATATCAAAATTTGTCTTTGTCCTGTTTTCAGCCTTTTGTAAAGGCTGAAAACAGATGATACTTTGGAAAGTATCATCTGTTCATTTACATATTCCTGTGATATCTGTATCGAGGATCCACGGAGATCTGGCATAAAGTAAACACTTAATTTTTCACTCTGTTGCTTGGTCCCTCGTACTCAAACTTTCATTTAAACGTATTGGTCGGTGAATGAAGTAAATTGAGCAAAGAAAAATTGTATAAATACCCCATCAATTCAAAAAATGTGTGGTATACTTCTCTCTACAAACAGCTTCCCCAAGAACATTCTAATATTAGTGTAAGATACGTTCCTCTCAGGGCCACATTATCTTCTCTGTAAATAGTTGAAAACATGCTCAGGATGGGTTTGTTGCTGCTTTTTTTATGTTTTGGTTGTTGTTGTTGTTGATGTTGTCGTCGCTGTTCTTGATGTTTTTGTTGATGTTTTTGTTTCTGTTGTTGTTGAGGTTATTGTTACTGTTATTGTTGATGTTTTTGTTGATTTTTTGTTGCTGTTGTTGTTGATTGTTGCTGTTGTTGTTTTAGTTGTTTTCGCTGTTGTTGATGTTGTTGTTGATGTTGTTGTTGATGTTTTTGTTGATGTTGTTGTTGATATTGTTGTTGATGTTGTTTTTGATGTTGTTGTTGATGTTGTTTTTGATGTTGTTGTTGATGTTGTTGTTGATGTTATAATTGTTCATTCATTATTGGTTCAGCTTGATTAATCGCAAGGTTAAGGGTTGGCTCTGTTTTAAATTTTCTTTGCAGGGACATGAGCTCCAACAAAATAAGAAGGATTGAAAATGCTGATTTTGCTGGTCTCGAAAAACTCAAAATTTTGTAAGAAAAACTATTTTTACAGAATGTGTGACTATTAATCAGCCATCGATGTTTGTTGCGGGGCATAATCACCTGTCATCAAAAATAAAGGCTCAGGTATCAAAGAAGTTCATTCGCACTGAAACTTGTATCAATTCAAGCGGCACGAACAAACATGTGAGAGGACAGGATTACTGTTTGAAATACCATTAGTTTTGATGAAGTTTATATGTTGCTTAACACAGAGAACTTTGATATTCTCTTGATAATTGAATGATGTTTATTATATGGCGATCATTGAATTTAGAACAAGTCTCTGTAAGAATCAAACATCTTGGGAAATGAAAATTTTCAAGCCCCCTTCAAATTTTGCATGCAGTTAGGCACTCAGGAGGGATGCACAAAAATGCCCTTTTGAAAGGTCACAGCAAACTTGTTGCCATGGTAACAACGGCTGCTTGTTCGAGGCCTGGGGCCTCATTTTCATACAAAAACGTCGCAAAAAAGAGTGAAATGTTTATCTCTCAATCTCAAGCTAAATACAACATTACAAATTTGCACTTCTACAACGATTCTGGAACTGAATTACCCACCTAGCTGGTCATAATATTCTAGTTTTTAAATATGTAAAAGTCTCTGCAGGCCTGCCTCTACTTTTTATAGGGGCAGTTCGCGAAAAAAGCTCAAAATCAGACATTGCATAGCTTTGCATAATTTGGCGATGTTTACATCTAATGTTCCCAACAACAAACGTTTTTAGACAAATGAAAAGTGCGAGGCTTTGAAAGAATGTTATCTTATGAGCAATATCCCGAAGAGAAATCT